ATTTCCAGTTATTCAGCCTGTGTCAATACCCCTTTGTCTTTCTGTGCTAAAAAAAAAAAAAAAAAAAAACAAAAGTTATCTCGTTTTGTTACCATCCCCGCTCAATCTCAACCATCTACCGGTGTGATTCTCTTGTGTACTGGGTCCAGTATGAGTCTATTGCACTACCTCCATGGCCACCTACGTGAAGGAAAAATGAATGTTGTGTCATGGACCTTAACGAAAACAGGCACTGGCAGCTGCTGGCAGCGGGAAAAAAAAGTCCTTGATAGAGTTTCGATTGTTGTTGGCACTCAGGTTTTGCGTGTTCATCACCCATGTCTGCCATGTACTGTAGAAGAGTTGGGAATGACGGATTTACAATTACGGAATTGTTTTTCCTGATAGTCCCCGTTAAGGATTTGATGACATATATAAACATTACCACCTACATCATTTAGTCAATCACTGGCTGGTCGTGAGTACTGCTGTTGCCTTCCTCTACTATTGTTTTCTCGCATAGTACGCCCATATATGCAAGTGCAGTACAACCGTACAACTGCTTGGTTCTAGGATGCGCTCGATAAACAATGCATATGGAATAATTTGAACGTTATTTTATTAGTTTTTTGTTCCGGTCGATATATCAGTACATCGTTCATATATTAGGATTCAAAAATACAGAAGTAGAACAGCAATCCACCCACCCAGAGTCCTATATAATCATCCCCGATCCATGCCAAGAGAATATACATAACTGAATGATTAATACATACAAGGAACAAGGTCCTCGTCGAGGTCGATCGTGTATCAACCTCCGATTCTGCGAGGACAACACGATATAGTGTGTGATATATGCGAGACAAGGTTGTCGGTGAAGTTTTTCGGCTGAGAATTCATTTTTTTTCCTTTTGTTTTTGTTTCATCTCTCTTCCTTCCCCAGAGCACCCTGTCTCAATGCAAGATTGGTGCTTAAGTCTCGTACACAGCCTACCATCCGAAGATTTCACCCACACTCAGCATGCCCCAGCGGACGCCAGCCACGGAGAATAAGATGAGGACAATGTCCACAACGCCTAGGACGGTGGCGCCCATCATGAAGCGAGGGCTGAAAATGCGGTAGAGCATGAGGTGGCGGCGCAAATGGCCGGCCCACATCGTAGTTGCGAGATTGATGGTGGCGAAATAGAGTATATAAGTGCAGGCAGCCTGCACTACGTCTGAAAGGATCTTGATGGCAGGATTGTTGGGCATCGACGAGGTAGACCTTGACTGGTCATGAAGCTGCAAAGGCCGTTTCCAGAGAACGGTGAGAGGAACAGCAACGGCTGTGAGAATCTGTGGACCAAAAGTGTTCAGAACCACTAGGATAGGAGACCAGGGGTATTTGACTGAGGATAGGGGTATAAAGGCAGTCTCCCACTGTATACTGCTCAAAACTGCTTGGTGGCCTGTCTTGAAGAAGTAGAAGGAACCGAGAAGCGCCAGAACAATTGGTCCAATGGCCGAATTACTCATTACCAGTGCATTCGTGTCAAGGATTTCAAGCAAAGATAAGATTTGCCACAGCAACAGACCCATGGCACCCTGGCCCATAGGTTTCTGCATGAGAACAATGGCCAAGCAAAAATTGACGACAAGAAGGAAAAGCCGGGTCCCGTAGATGTTGCCGAATCCCAGAATAGTAACGGTTGTCCTTCCCGGCTGCGATGGGGAGGAAGTAGGCTTGTTTTTACTCTCGGAGTCAGCACTGCCTTGTGTGACGCTGATGCTAACACATGGCTTCGAGTATATAAACGCTGTTGTACCAACAGCAAAGGCGAGACCAAGAACAAGCTGAGCGAGAATTACTCGAATCGATTTCAATGTTTCCTTGCTCAACGAGAACCATTCACCATCATCCGCACCTTCGAGCATCCAGAATATAGAAGTCAAAAACAGCCCGAGCCGAAAACCATACCCAACCCACAGAGTAGCAGCTCCTTCGTAAGACTTCGACCCGGCGTAGAATGACTTTACAACTGCGGGTAGAATGAGTGTCACGAGAAAAGGTATGGCGAGTTGCCACGGGGCAGATGTGGAGGATGTTGCGGATGCATAATAGGTGGAACGACAGAACGGCATCTGCTCCTCACGGCAGAGGCGAGAGAACGATGCTATTCTTCCTAAGATGACGAATAGTATTGAATGATAGACTCCCAAGACCCTGTCGGCCGTCAACGTTTGGCGCATCGAAGATATGCCAGAAACAACACCAAAAGTGGAAAGGAAGAATAATAGAATCTCATCCTCCCAGATGGTGTAGGAGTTGGAGGCAAAACCGACCGACTGAGTCACAGTGAACATTACAGCGAGCCAGCCCCACAATGAGTTGGGGATAGGCAAGCTCAAATGGCCAGGCTTCGCGAAAACCACCCATGAGGCTCCAAGTATGCTCGCAACGGCAGCCGACAAAGCGGATGACTCTGCTATTGACATATCTGCCACACCACTGAATGTCAAACAACCACCGACAACAGCGCCCAAGCCCGAGCTTAACCCAACAACAGAAAGGAGCGGTTTTGTGAGCTCTGTGCGGTCCGATCTAATACCACGAGCATAAAACACCAACAGTACAAGTCCTGCGAGGAGTATTCCAACACCTTGTATCATGCTGAGGACGTCAAATTTAGCCCACAATGCACGGCATATATCGAGAGTGTGGCGCTGGTATTCCCTATATGACCGGTAGACGGACCGCAAGGCCTCTGCGTTCGGCTTGCCGCGCTTTGAGGACCTTTGCCAGGCATCTTCCGCTGTTTCCCAGAAGCTTAACGACCGGAACTCTTGGCCATCATCAGCCCCCCGCGTTATTGCGTACTCGTGCTGATACCTCTTAATTTGAGCAGATGTCAAACGATTGACGGCAACCAAATTCTTCCAATCCTGTCCTCCGGGTCCTGCAAAAGCCTCCTCAATTGGTGATCCAAGGTTGTTAAAAGGGATCGGCAACCCGAGAAGCAATGACAGCGTCGGCACAAGGTCGATCTGAGGAATAGAGCGCTCGCGCGCAGTCTTCGGCGGCACGGCAGTATCAGGGCTGGTACGACCAAAGAACTTTCTCTTCGAATACATCCATAGAGCAGCGTCCACTTCATCATTCGATTCACCTCCATGATCACCTTTCGAATCCATACCATGGTCACCCATGACAACCAACAGAGTGTTGTCATCAACCTTTGCGATGAGATCTCGGATGACCTGGTCCATTTGCCTCAACTTCGCACCCATGGCCGGATGATCGGGACCATAACGGTGGCCGGCGTGGTCAACCCCAAGGTAATGACCAAATATAACATCCCATTTTGTGGCGTTCTCCGGGTGTAAGAGGGGGAACAAATGGCCATTTACGCCATTGTCGACAGTGTGTAAATCCCACACGTTGAAAGAATCGAAAGGCCGTGTCAGTTCGGGATCGAAGTAGTCAGGAAATAGACTGTGCCAGGTATCATCGCCAAGGTGCACCAGATTCTTTCCTGCGGTACGCAGCTGAGCGACAAGGTTATCCTCATCGATTGCCGTTCCAGCGAAGTTAGAGCCTGCGTCTACGAAAGTCGGCAGGGTCCCAGTTGTCAGTCCCTTGAGACGCTGCAGCGTCGTGGTAGGTGGATCCGCAACGAAAGGCAATAAGAAAGCGTTTTCTGGGGTATTGACGGCGGTCTCGTACAAGACGGGTATATTGTCGTGGAACAAATGGGAAGTTTCACCCTCCACCGTTGACACGAATGGGGTGGTAAAATCGTATCGCAAAGCATCTACAACAATAACAATGGCCTTCTCGAACGACTTCTGGTGCCAGCATCCTTCGTTTTTCTTGCCGACTGCCGAATGCGATGATGCATCGGCAAACGGGAGCACATCGCAAGACGACTTGTTCTCCAAGACCATCCGTGTCAGCAAAAACCCCTTAGTAAAGAAAAATATTCCGACAACATGGAGGAGCCTGTAGTTCATTAATTCGCATTAGATTTCTCTGCTCTAAAATGAAAGAATGCTTGCAACCATTGAAAGGCAAGCTCACAATATCCAGCCCAGTACACCCAGCGAACCCAAGTGCCTGAGTTTGAATTCCCGTTCCAAGCCGTCATCGACACTCTCCTGCCCATTGCTCTCTTTCCCTGGTCGGGACTGCCTCCCTGTCAGTGCCTTCGGTACCGGGGTTTTCTGCGTATCGTTGCGTTCCGAAAGCCGTGAGGGCGACGCGGTGGTCTGCAAGCCATTGAGGTCGGGTCTATTGGATCCCGAACCCAGACTTATTCCGGATGCCATCACGGGTAGGAAGTTGCCGAGTCTGTCGAGGCCGTATTCATCTAAAGCGACCAGGAAGTGAGTTGCGTTTCACGGCAGCGCAACCGCTCGCTGCGGGTGAACAAGTCGGTAGGTTTGACGTGTGCTCACGCAGGAACTGATGCAAGATAGGGGTGTCAAAGAATTTTAGAAATAGAAACTGGACACATTGAAATTGAAAAGGGAGTGGGGAAGGTGTGGCTATCCCTTAGTCGTCTTTCTTTTCGGTCCAAAATTTTCAAAGCTGTGGACGGCCTCGTGGTGAATTGAATCACTGAGCAGGCATGATCACCGCAAAGACTCAATCGCAAACATGTAACATGAGCACAAATAAGTGAAAAAATCCAAGTTGTCTTCTCAAAAGCCCGAGAGATGAGACTCGGGGCAGGGACGCGCACGATGCAACGAGCCCTTTCGCACATCCCAAATCTTCCCCCGTGACGTCGGGCAATCGGCGCTTTCGGGACGCCAACTTGAGAAATCCCTCACTACCATTGGTCGGCACGGTTCGGAACATCCAGAACCCTGAAGGTTGGTGGGGCGCCTCCGAATTGGGACAACTGTTTACTGGTTGCGGTAATTCTATAGTTCCCATAGTGTACAAGTAGCGATTTGGTGCGCATTCTTAGCATGACCGAGGGCCACCTGGCGGCATATCATTGGGATATTATAAAGCAAGGTCGGACATCTCGCAATTTGAAAATGAATGAACGCATCCATTGAGGCCCACACAGAGGTGGCCGTACAATACGTTGTCAGACTAGTTACATACATTATCCAGCTGTAAGACACCCTAAAGGCAACCCGAGAATGGTAGGGACGATGGTGGGAGGATAATTGAATAGAACGTTGAAACAACAACAAGGTCAGTGGGGGAAAAGAAAAGAAAACCCCCAAAGGAGAATGAAATTGAAGATAATCCAACAAACAGGTGCGTAACGTCTTTCCAACCCTAGTGACATGGCAGGGTGAAAGAATTAGAGTGACCAAGCACGAGAAATGAACGCCTTAAGAATAATGAATGTAAATTGGGAGAAATGGGGGGGTAAGAAAGAAAAGAAATCTCGAATTGAATCCACCGCCCTTTGCTATACACAATTCAGCTAAGGTATGCCTTTAGTGCCGTCTTCGGGTGCGCCGGGCGAATATTGCCCGACAGGACAAGCGTGAAACTCCAAATCACCAATGATTAGTAGTGCAGTGGTCAGACGGGAGATATCATTCCGCGTATGTGCAAGTCACGAAGATACAACGAAACACAAGTGGCGATATATAAGAAACGGAAAAAAAAAAATCTTCGCCGGGATGTCGTCATGCCTTTTTGAAATCGTCGAAGAGTAAGAGGTTGGAAGGGGTATCACGGATAGAAAAGACGGCCGCTGGTATCTAGTTATCAACGGTTCGTTCAAGACCATCTTTTTACATCCTCTTTCTCCTTGAGCCCGCCCATGCGCTCAATGTCCAAGGACTGGAAACGCTCCGCATCACTGGACTGATATGGTGGCAATTCGTCATGGCATGGCTCCAGTCCCACACCGCCAGCATCGCTGATTCTTACAACCACCATGCGTCCAGATTTGCGCTTTCCAGATTCATCTTCCTCTTCAGGGAACGTAATGCGGATCTCCGGGACTGGGCTCGGTGGAGGGCTCGATGAGTTCTCCATGAGACTCCTCTTCTCATCGTAGACGAGGACGGACTCGGTCTTGGCATATGGCGGTGCAGAAATTGTGAGGCTGCGATGATGAGTCGTGCACTGGCCGTTATGAATCGGGAGTTGGGATCGTTTCCGATTTTGGCGCTTGCGGCGCAAAACAAGAAGGGCACCAACAAGGGCAATACCGACTAGAACGAGAACTAGAAGAGCGATCAAAAGATCGACCATGGCCGGAGTAAGTCTATCATCGTTGCTTTTTTCATCGTCACGGGCGACGAGCCTCTTGAACAGGTGCATCATTTTTAGATAGTCGAGTTCTCCAGTAGCATACGGTTTCTCGGATTCGGCTTTCGAAAGGTATATACTGTAACGCTATTTGTATCGACAAGACAGGTGGAGAAGTATAGTTCAATAAAGATCCAGGTCGTACTGTATACCACCGTCAGCGCTGTACTAGGCTAAGACATGGTGGATAACACTTACTCGACGTTCCAGCAAAGTGTCTTCAATAGAAGGACAAGAATATAGCAATAACCAGAGTGACTATCTTGTGATAGTCGTGGTGCGTTCGAGACAAAAAGGAGGGAATGTATCAGGTCGGTCGGGCGGTCTGAAAAGACGGGGTCGCAGGACACAATGGACCAGGCTGGTAAAGGAGAATGAATGGACAGCGAGGTGAACAGCTGAAAGAGTGAAGCCGACACCTGCTTTGGATAGAAAGAACGTGACGAGGAAGGAAGGAGGAAGAATGGATTGAGGGCTGGTATGAGTGGAATGAAGCCAAGGGAAGAAAAACAAAAAGAGAAAGAAAGGGTCAGACGGAGAGGAGAGAGAGAGAGAGAGAGACAGGCGCCTGCCTACGAACGCACGGTCAACCGGCCGGCACGACAGGAACGAGGCGCAAGGGTGCCCACAGGGCCAGACCGTCCAGCGAACACCCAGCAAGGGTGAGTTGGTCGCTAGCCAACGACAAAAGATTGCTAGTTTTAGACTAAATGCCAAAGGGATCCACCAGCCCGTTGTTTGTTTGTCCATTTCCTCTATGGTGTCTCTTGGCTGTTGGCTGGCGGCGGCGCTAAAGGCAGTTGTAATTTCCCCATCGCCGAGATTTTCGCCTATCAGAAGGCCGAGGTCCCTGGCCTAAGCCTTTTTCAACCGAGTCTAGCATTCCTATTCGTTAATTCCCCTGGTGATTGATGCTAAATTTTGTTAGGCATGTCCATCTTTGGACTCGGACCCCACTCGGCCTTGTTCACGTCTTCTTTTTTTGGCTCATTTCATTTTACCCCTGAATAGCATGATCGAGACTGGGTACATATTTAGCACTGCCATATTTTTCGTCAGATTCCAGGAATGAAAACAATGTCGCTCATCGTAGTAGGAGGGACATACAATATGTAATGCTTTTTCCATCTTGTCATCTACATTGCAGCGAATATTTGTGCATACAGTTCAATATCCGGGATAGAATCTGAGCTGCACCCTCGTTGCACTTCCGTCACAATTGGCATGCGACTCCCTCAGATATCCCTGAGTGATTGCATGGTTTTCCATGCATTCCATACAACAAAAATGTATGTCTCAGACCGCAACGTGTTTATCTCTAAATTATTTGGAAGTGTGAGAACTTCCTGAGGGCAACCCCAAACCTCCATATGATCTCACTGTGGAGCAAGTACACTAAGTACACTAAGTAAGTATCTAGGCAGGACAACAGATTTAGAGCATAATATCACCACCTGGTCTCCTTGGTATCCAACCCCTCCGTGCGTCCACTGAATTGCCCTGTTTTACTTGCATAAAAATAGGTGGTTATAATTATGTCTGATTTGACCTGATTTTAAGACATCCGTGACATCATTGTCTCATTGCCTATAAAATGACAGGCAAAATACGTTGTTTTATCCCCGCTCTTGGGCACGCCGAGGTAAAGTTCCCTGAGGGGGGCATGTGGTAAGTGGGATAATCAGTAGATATAAAACTATACAACTGCCTCTCACAAATCATGTTGGCTACTGCGGAGTATATGGAAAATACCGGAGAGACGGCAACCCCAAACAGGTATAATCTATAGAATGCCATCTGAACTACTGATCTAGATCAAGCCTTCGGAGACTTCCGGATTGGTTAAACGTCGCTTGGGTCATCGGTGCCAAGGGTTTCCCTCCAGTTGACCTTTGCCCTTTCTTGTAGGTAATAGGCTATCTATCTAAATCTCCGTACTCCGTTTCAAATTAGGTCATCTAGTTCTGTGTGTTTGCTACAACGCAACATTCTGGTCCAAGCCAATCATAACATTTTATCTACACCCCCCGCGAAATGACTCCATGACCAAGTTATGATCACTCCATTGGGTGGCGGATATATGGAAAAATTATAATTACCATATGTATTGGCTTGGCAAGTCATATAACTGACATCCAACCTCTACCGGACAGGTATAGATTTCTCAGCAATTCTGGCGAGTCACACGTACGCTGAATAGGAGTGAACCTAAACCACTTCACTGAACCGAGGAAGAGCTTAAGCAAAGCCAGCCTCGGTAGTCAAACGCTTGGTTCTCGCCGCTCATTCGGTCATCATAGTGACTAATGTCCAGTATTCCTGTCAAACCAACCCAAAGACCGGTCTTCCGGGGATCAGTGATGTTGGCCCTACACCCATGGTTGTCTCGGGAGATAGATATGTTCATATGATGTGGTCCTTACTTCAAGCCAGCATGAACCGACATGGGTTCCTCTGGAAGGATATCCTCACCGCTCCAGATCTACAGAAGAGAGCCGTGGCGATTCTGGCTTCCACAATAGTTCGCATTACCCCCCTCTTCCTCCCATGGATGGTTGATGCGCTGGTTTGTTTGTGTGTTGGATTTCTCATACTAAGTACAGGCTAGACCACGCGTCAGTTCATTTTTTTTTTAGGAAGGAACAGGGTATGTTGGCATACATTATGGCTTCTCTTCTCCCAACCGAGTGGTCGGTCTATATCTCAAAGATTTTAGGATGTACGACAATTTTTTTTTCTCATCTATGTTGAATTTTTCGCCTGTATACGCTAGTCCAGTGAACCACATGGTTGAGCTGACAGGAATACACCGGAAATCAAAAAAGAATCCCGCGTCTATCGGTATACAAACCCAGCGATAGAAATGGTGCCTTGATAATCAATGGCATATTCGAGTAAAGCCCCATTGAGTTCTCGAACGTGGGGTATATTTGTCGTCAAGAACAAATATATATGTTTTGAAGGTGACACGGTTAAGGAATGCTACAAGTGCACTCGTACCTTCTGCATCTGCTATACATCGTGCCTCCCGCTGGTAAAGTAGAAACATTCTGCTTGTTCTCATACATGGTATAGCAGAATGGGGTAGTGCACCTTAAACCTTGTACCGCCAGATGCATGTATAACTCGCTGATGTAGATGTTCTCAATCAATATGTATATACTACACCGCCTCTCGAGAATATCTATATAGCTGCGTTTTGAATTACGGGCGTATCTTGACTTGGTCCATGGTGATACGACGGGAGTGATATATATACTTGTGGGCTTGTTACGGGACATGTAGTTGGTTTCGGTGCCTCATAGAGTGGGCGATTATGGGCGTACGGAAATATTCCTTGCTACGCCGCCAATGTCTAGATTTATAGCTGTGACATTCCGCGGAGATAAAACCTGGTGAGCTCATCATGATCCTACATTTCGTTCTTAGTCCTTCCCATATCAACCAGTCAAAATTCGTGATAATTTGAATTTCTTCGACTCCGATACGAGACATGGAAGAAAGAGAAAGATAGAGAGCGAGAGAGGAATTGAAATGGGACTGAACCAAGGGAAAGTGGCCGGCATTATTACATGAGGATAAGTGCCAAACTAGCACGGACGTGAGTGTCATGGATACAAGCATTTTGCTCCGGCTATTTCCCCTCCAAGTATGGCTCTGACATGGTACAAGGAATCAATAGATGGATGGAAATATTATCCGCGGATGAGTACTGGGGAACAGCTTGCCCTAGTAGAACTCTTTGGTTATGGTAGCCTCCTAGGAATGCAAGGCTGTCAAATAAACCGTCTCATTGGAAGGGGCTAATAGTATCATTAATTTGCAATAATCAGCGATAACTCAAATTTTCTACCAAGAAGGTACGAGAGAGTCTAAATGCGATGATCCCGAATATCGACTGGTTAATGCATACTACTGCAGATCATAGGTCAACGACACTGTGGATGTGTCCTGAAGGTGTTATTATTATAGGTATAACAGTTAAGCTAGGCTGTCATCCTGACAATACGACGGAATGACAGTGGGAGGATTGACCGTCCACAGCGGGAGACCTCTCAATACTAGTAGGTGGCCGTTCAGGAGGGTATCGCGGATGAAACGAGTAACTGAGGGGTACACCGATTTGAAGCAAGGGGCGTTTGAATGGTGAAAGAAAATCTCTGCCAACGCTGGTTGCCGGTTACAACTCGCGCAAATCACCTCTCTTGCTATTACTGTTGGTATTCTCCAGGTACCATGTATCTTGTCGAAAGTGCTGAGGTCAGACATCATGTCATAAGAATAATTCCATGGATGAGCGTTAGCCGCTCGGGGCTATGTATATCATGTTGACCTCCAACCATGTATGTACATAGAAGGTCTACGGAAAGCGAATTAAAACTCAGTATGTGGGGTGGGGAAAATAAATAAATAGAAAGCGCAATATATAAGAGAAGGACAAACCAACCATAGAGAGGCACGATAATGAGTCAAGGTAGGATTATGTAGTAATGATCTAAGTACTACTCGGATATGTGTTTAGGTATTTAATTGTCATAATTTCCGTCACAAGACCAACCTGCCAACTATGAGGCTGTCGTTAAGAAAGCCAATTGCACGAGACCTTGACTCTTGAGCAATATACTAGTAAGTACGGAGTAATCTCTCTCTCTCTCTTTTCTCTTTTTCTTATTTCTTTCCTTTTTCCCTCTTCTTTACGTATTGCTTCTTTCTTTCTTTTTTTTTTTTTTTTTTACTAATGTCAATAAAAGTTAAAGAATATTTGACAACCCATTGCAGGTCATTGAGTTTTATCCAAAGGCTGTCTTGGACCAGGACAACTGAACCCTACGTAAAGCAGGGATTGAATGAACTAATTTATATCCGCCGGCGTGTTCCTTTGCCTATGCCCGATAAAGTATTGTTTCAATTGTTATGAGGAAAATCAAGCTAGTTTAGTGGATCCGATCGGTCGGGCTCCAGCACAAAGTAAACTTTTCGCTGTAAGTCTTATTTTAGTTAGGGCTTGAAGCCAGTCAAGAAGTGTGGAAGTCAACGACCGGCGTTGACTTGACTCTATATCCAGTCAATACTTCTCTTGGGAATCTGTCCAATTTCCTTCCCCCCCCCTCATCTCGAGAATAATTAGCGGACATTGGAGTGTTCGCTGGCCAGGAAGTCATGTCCGAAATGGGGGCAACTAACATGGTCTGTTCGGCCGTACCAAGAACTCTTAATTGGTCTCCACAATAGCCTGAATTTCTCCTTGATATCCTACGTGGATCTAAACAGAGGGCAAAAGATGATAGATTACGCAAAGTCAAAGCATACCAAGAGTCAAGACCATGGATTACTATCTTTACTACCTGGCTTCGTGAGACAAATCAATATGAATATGGGAGGCACTAGTATCAAGGACCGTAGTCTCGTCAAGAATGGGAGGGGGAAAAGGCATCAGTCTTATTTTCCCTTTATTTATTTCCGGCGTAAGTTTACCGTAGGTTCCCAGCCACGGCCCTGTGTGCGTCATACATCTTGATTACAAGGACAAGTAAGTAAAGTTAAGGACTAATTGTATGACAATAAGAGGGGCAAAAATACCATAAAAGTGGTGAAGCCTAAAGGGTAAAGAGCGACGGGAACGAATTTGGGCGGCCCCAGAAAAGTTGAAACATTGAACGGTGGTTTGGAACGGTATGGGACAAGTGGACATGCGATCACCCTTAAGCAAGTTGATTTTACCTAAAGGCTGGGCGGTACTTACCCTTCAGGTGTAGCGTTCATACTGCGATCATGTACCAATTCAGCCTATGGCAAAGTTCCTGAACGGATCGACAGATCGCCTTTGTGTATTGTCACCAGTGGTACCAATTATACCCACCAACCGATGGGCGCCTACCTAAGGTGTTCCAAGACACGCAGCATCTTTTTTCCAGCTCGACCTTTTTGTGACCAGCTTATCTATCATCTTGACTCTCTCATCGATTGCAAAAAAGACTTCATATTTTTCTTTTTTCTTTTTTGCTTTTAATCATTTTTTTATTCTCGTCTTTTTTATTCCCAACCATTCCCCCCCTTCCTTTATTTCAACTGACTCACTCCACTTTTTTTTTTCTCACTTTTTTTTTTTTGTTCCTACTTCATCCTGATTCCATCTAGTGCTGCTTGTCTGTGCTACCAGTTTCTTTCACTTCGTTTAGGAATTTTTCCCACTGCGCTGCCTCTGACTTTCGCTCTCAGTCAGCATCTTCATTCTTCTCTCAACGATATTATCATCAACATCATCCTTTCTTCTTCCTTCCCACCCCCACCACCACTGCCGTACTTCTCTTAAACTCCCCACTGGTGTGGAGGTCGAAGAGGATTTACTATCGAGATTGATCGACCCCCCTCAAGGACCACTTTGGGTGTCATGCTTGCTTTCGCCTGTGTCACAGCTGGATTACATTAATGCCGTGCTTTGTCTCTCTCGTCCACATTCCCATTTATCGCTGCTCCACCAATCACGCCTGATCGCCTCATTTGCGCAACGAAACACATTCCTCCCCATAATACCAGTCGCAATTTGACTGAATCCCTCCCCTCCCCCTTGCTGCTGCGAACCATCAAATCTCCCAGACGCCTATCGGATTGAAACACATTCGAGTCGGCAACGTTCTTCGTCCCGTTCCCTCTCCACAAGGTACATGAGAGTGATCTGCGGGATTCGAACTTCCTGGAGCATGCACGGAGCGTAGCAACGTCGCGATACGCACTGGCAGTCTTGATCTACGGCTATTGCGGAGCATTACACTGGTAACGACAGGGACATTATCCAATTCCCGTCACCTTGCTTCTGCTTTGCTTCTCGATTAAGCATTTTTCGCTGGCCCGCCTGCCACTTCACCTCCCTTTCGTGCCCCTGCGATCCCTTGTATAATCTGTACATGGTCTGACCGCATTACTTGTTTGGACAAAAACAATAAACCCTATTATTTTATTTTTCTTTTCTTACCTTGTTTCGGTACGCTCTTCTCTTTCATCCCTTCCTTTCTTTCCCTCGTTCAGCTCGCTGTCGCTGCCCTGGGTAAGTGGTTTTTCTGCGAGAAGATCGCCTCACCGCATTACAACGCCTCGCTAACCATATGACTGGGCCTCGTGCAGGTCAATATTTACCCGATATCCCGACCGGCTCCTCGTGTTCGTTCGCCACGGTATAACTCTCCTATCGGTTTGACGCCGCGAATCCACAGTTCAGGATACCTAGAGGTAGGACTCGCAGAGAAGAGAAAAAGCGGGAGTGTCAAGAAACGAGTACGGTTGAAGGCCGTCTGCAAATAATTCTTCGCTGTTCGTATACATATTTTTCTTTATTCCGTCTTGTCTTTAGTTAGATACATGGTGGAATGGCCGCGATGGCAGCAAACGCAAGCGCGGTACATCATGTGAGTGGCAGGTAGTTGGAACGAGTTGATCAAGCAATTGACAGTACTGGGTACAGGTACGGTCAAGTCGAAGCTCGAACGTCACTCCATCCAATATGGGTGGTGAACGGAATCGTGGAAGCCATGGCGGTATGGGGCAGCCTTTTGGTGGCGGGAAGGCGAGCTGGAAGAATACCATCTGGGGTGACAATCTAGGAGGTGAGTGCATGAAGTGGCTTCCATATTGGCGAAATTATACTAATGGTGAGGATATCCTCTAGACCAGCATGCTGGTGATAAGGCCTTTGAAGGCAAGGCCGGCTCCAGCTCTTTGTTGTCATCGTCCGAATCGGATGGGTGGAACGGTCGCCCTAATATGCCTTGGAGTACCGTGAATACATCTTCAAATGTTCTCGCTAGAGCGACAAATAACAGTATGACAACATCGCCCATACAAACACGGGCGGGTGACCGTGGAACAGGTAGCCTTGCAGAGGCCGGTGACTCCTCGTACTTTACATTACCCCGATCGGCGGCAATCGGCGGCACTGCTGGATCGACAAATCATAAGGCGTATCTCAACACCGGATCGGAGGGTATTTCTCCTTCTGGAGAAGGTATCGCATTTTCTGGGTTTGGGAATTTCAGAAATACAGAGAGCCGGCGACATGTCAACGCTTCTGCCTTTGGGGGTAGCCCTGTTGGATCTGTGTTCCCGATGAAACCAGGATTTTCCAGCCCACTCGAGAGTAGTAGACCGGATGAAATGCCGCCTATGTCTGCTTTGCCCCAGGGCTTGCCCGAGACTGTCGCGCCGACTCTCGGCCGCAACTCTTATACGCATGCGTCACACAACTCGGCATCCTTCGCGCCTCAGAGACCAGTACATTCTTCATACCCATCGTTTCATTCCGAGAGCCAGGGATTCGAGGGTCGATATGCCGGCGGCCCTGCTGACATCAATTCTGGTCTAAGTAAACTCCACTTCACCGAAGGTAGCTACTCCGCACATCCTTCCAGTACCCGCCCCGGGTATTTGTCGCACCCATCTTTGGATGGTTCTTTCCAGCGCTTGAAATACCAGGGTGAAGAGCCCGCCTATCAAGGGGCTGGCTACGCAAGTGAAGGCACTTCAGATGTTCAGCTCGGATACCAAGCTCCGAGAAACCGAATGGGAGATAATCAGATCTCGCCGACAGAGTATGCCAGGGTGGAAAGCCCACTGTATGCTGCGCTTGATAATGGGTCTGTGCACGTTCCACATTATAACAATGCGTCTGCTCGTTTATCTGACGCACAGGCTGCTGCTTTGGAGCGCCGCCTGCGAGAGCAGGAGCTGGCTCAACAAGCAATCAACCCGCTTCAAAGACTGCCATTCACCCCTTACGACCTTGCTCGCTATCCAGGCACAGGAATAAATGCTTTGTCAGGATTCTATCCGGTCGCCCAACTTGGCGCAGCCGCCCTGGCAACTAGGGGCCACCGCGACCACGATCCATCCCAGACTGTGCGAAGTCCAGTTCTAGAGGAGTTTAGGGCGAATAGCAAGGGGAATAAACGATATGAACTTAAGGTAATCATTAGCTGCGCATTTTTCCGCATTACTTCGTGACTGACAGGGATTAAGGATATCTACAACCACGTCGTCGAATTCAGTGGTGATCAACATGGATCGCGTTTCATCCAGCAGAAACTGGAAACGGCTAATAGTGATGAGAAGGAGCAGGTTTTCCGTGAGATCCAGGGTGATAGTCTGCAGCTGATGACAGACGTCTTTGGAAATTATGTTGTACAGAAGCTCTTCGAGCATGGCAACCAGACGCAGAAGAAGATTTTGGCAAATCAAATGAAGGGACATATTCTGGCTTTGTCTACTCAGATGTATGGATGTCGCGTCGTCCAGAAGGTAAGAGCCTCTCTTAGCCATTCTCTTTTCCTTACAGGTCGGTGGGCTAATTCAGTGCAGGCCCTTGAGCATATCCTCACGGATCAACAAGCTTCTATGGTGAAAGAACTTGAACACCATGTTTTGCGATGTGTTCGGGACCAGAATGGAAACCATGTTATCCAAAAGGCTATTGAAAGAGTGCCATCTGAGCATGTTCAATTCGTCATCAATGCTTTCATTGGTCAGGTCGAGAAGTTAGCCACTCATCCATATGGCTGTCGTGTCATCCAACGGATGCTGGAACACTGCAAGGAAGAGGATCGCGAGGCGATCCTTGCTGAGCTCCACGTCTGCACCGCCAAGCTGATTCCCGACCAGTTCGGTAACTACGTCATTCAGCATGTCATTGAGAATGGCGAGGACAAGGACCGAACCCGTATGGTGACAATTGTTATGTCAAACTTGTTGACCTACTCGAAGCACAAGTTTGCAAGCAACGTGGTGGAAAAGAGCATCGAATTCGGTCAAGAGTCTCAACGTCACCAAATCATCAGCATGTTGACGTCCACCGATAATAATGGGGAAAACCCCTTACTTGGCCTGATTCGTGATCAGTTTGGCAATTATGTCATACGTAAGTCCTCACACTCATAGGAGTACACCTGAGTAATGCTAACCTCTGTACAGAGAAGGTTTTGTGTCAGCTGAAGGGTGCAGAAAGGGACGCTCTTGTTGAGGAAATCAAGCCTCTTCTCAGCCAGCTGAAGAAGTATAGCTATGGCAAACAAATCGCAGCGATTGAGAAACTAGTTGTGGACTCGAATTCACCAACCAACGGCACCCTTCCTCATACAACCTCTACCACACCGCCAAACTCGCACAAATCCTCTCCCCAGCCATCAAAGCGGGCTGTGAACGGCCTTGACGGCTGCCGAGCGCCAGTCGTGGGCGCGGCGCCCCCGACGCCGCCTCCAATAGACACTCAGAGCAATGGCGATGGATCCAGCGACACCAAGACCGTGACCAAGAGCACACCCCTCGCAGCATCCGAGTCGGCTGGCACGACCCCGACTACTTCTGTGGAAATCACCGGTGCCAACTAGATTGCTATGGCTTTCAATTATTCTTGCTTCTATTGACATATTTTTAAACCTTTTCACGATTCGCACACTCTATTGTGTCGAGACACTCAACATTATTCTTAATCCGGGCGTATACATACAGGCTTTCTGAGGGATATATGAGCTATCGCTTCGCTGTTCCGCTGTCGCAATTTATGGCATAACGGCGTAAAAAACCACGGGTCATGGCGGGAGCTTGCTTTGCTTTCTTATTTCTTTTCTTATTTCTTTTTTTTTTTTCTCTTGTGTTATTTTTTCACGCCCCGCTACCCGATATACTTCTTGAATTCTCTTTTTACACTTTTAATTTGTTCATGGCTTTCTCCGGTTGTTCTGTGACAGGTTTGATGTGATGAAAATGAAGACACGTCTTTATAGTTTTCGATGGCTGTATTTCTCTTTGTCCAGGTACGAGGTGTCGGCGTCTTAATTGGTGAACAAGGGAATACTGGGATATCACGCTTGATTGACCTCGAGGGTTGCAAATGGGACCTTTGGACATATGGGAAACTCTGAAAATAGGGAGCATCAAAGGAAGTGCCTGGAGCATGTAGAGGCAATCTGTCGGTATACAGTCAATCAATTCAAAAGTGTTGATGAACCCGTCATCTCTCTATGGCAAGCTTTTGCAACGTAGAGTTGTAGTATCCTACTATGATCTAAGAACTGCTCTTGGAGCCATATGACGATGATGATCTTAAAATCGACGCTTATCAGCGTATCACCACGTGATACGATCGTAGTTTTGGACGCTGTCAAAGTCGCAAAGCTTCAATCTAACTCAAGCGCCACCCCTCCGGCATCGCATTTCGGGGGACTGTTATAAAACCACGACTCTACAATACCACTGTTTTGAATGTGAGCATTAACTCCAGATCTTTCTATCTGTGCCACAGTCAACGCAAACTTTGCCATCCACTTACTCCACCACTTGCTCCAAACCTCCCACATATTACAAACAAAAGTTCTCCACAATGTCTTCAAATGTCGGTCTCAATACTCCTCGCGGAAGCGGCACATCAGGCTACGTCCAGAAGAACTGGGCCTTCATGAAACCGCGCAACGCAGGCTACGGCGCGCCGTATCCACCAGTCGGAGCGAACGGCGATGCAGGACGGCCCTTTAAGCAGCGGCAGCCTGACAAGCAGATTCTCGAGCATGACCGGCGGCGGGCGATTGAGGTGAAGGTTATGGAGGAGAGGGAACGGCTGGAGGAGGAGAATGAGCGGATTGAGGAGGAGATTGCGGAGCGGAAGAAGAAGGGGGATAAGGAAGACGGGGAGGAGCAGGAGGGGAAGGTTCTGTCAGATGAGGAGATTGAGGAGCGGTGTGAGGCCTTGAGGGAGAAGTTGGTGAAGGAGATGGAGGAGGAAGAGGAGAGGAAGGGTAAGGAGGGGGAGCGGAGGGGTGGTCGGTCTGCGCGGGATTTACCGCCGAGGGATAGGAGGCAGTTTAAGTCGTATCAGGTTCATGAGCTTGCTGAGGCGAAGATTGAGGAGAGCGAGCGGTTACGGAAGGCGTTGGGGATTAAGGAGGATAAGGAGACCGGGGAGATCTCGAGTGGGCGTCGGGACTGGGAGGAGAAGAAGCGGGAGAGGGAGCGGGCGCGTCCTTGAGCTTCTATTTGCTCTCTTGGATTCTGCTCGTTTTTGTTCGTTTCGTGATAATATTGAATTAGGACATTGGCGTTGGGGAGTCATACTGCACATGATTCTTGTATAGGACAGACAGGATTTGGGATCATACGGAATGAAGTAACAGAGCGTGTCTCATGATGACCATGGTTCTGGTATTCATGGCTTTGTATAAGTCGTTACAGTAACTTTTTTCTCATATTATATACAGTTAAGCGCCAAACTTTTCGATTATCCAGCCCTCTTTAGGGTCTTTCTTTTGGACCACCTTCTTGGCTGGCAAAGGCCATCCTCCACGTCCAGCCTCACTTACCAGGGACGGGATTACCCAGCACGCCCTGCGTGGCGGAATTCCGTCAATCAGTTCTGTTTTTCCAATAGGCTTACCGTACTCTATTAGGGGTGTGCCGTGTGCAATGGCGGAGAGTTGCAGGCCGCTAGGGCAAACCAGTGGGAACATTCTGACTTTGGGTACTTCGGTCGACACGAGCGATGGGGATGCTTGTTGAAGATGGGAATATACGATGTATTGTGGCATTTCCTTCGGTGAGAGACTCGCAAGGATAGATGACGGATGCACGTAAACAGCCTTCTCATCGAGTTCCGTGGCCGGTCCCTCGCGAGACTTGAAAAGCGTCAAGTATGGAACATCGATCGCTCTCTTCGGTGTACGATGCATTTCAGGCGGTACTGGAGACAGATCAGCCCGGATGGCAACATTATCGATGAATCCCGCTGTGACAATTTGTTTCAAAGCCTTAATTTGCTTCTCTGACGGCTGTGGTAAACGTGGCTGATACGCTCCGATAACTCCAGGGTTATTGGCCCGCACTATGTCTGTCAATTGACTTCGTAGTTGCGTGGCCTCTTTAAATCCTTTGCCCCGTAAGAACATCTTTTCACAGAACGATTCTCCATCAGAAGCATATCCGTAGGCGCAAATCGCTGACAAGAACTTCAACGCATCGGACGTATCATCGTATTGACTCCAGAGTCGATGAGCTCTTGCAAAGTCCTTATGACGTTGCTCCCGAACTGTGTCTTCCAACCGATCTGAGTTCGTGTACACCGCGTCTTTCTCTTTGTCATCTCCCTTGGGGTTCGGATCGATCTGGTTTTCTGGAACAAAAAGGTCGCCGACTGCCAAGGCTGCAACCAGCGCAATAACGTAGGGCATACAGCCGTGCTGATGACCAATATGCAACATCTTACCGAACCTAGGGGACAGAGGGTATGTAGACAGGCGATTACCGATTTGCGTAACTTTGCCATCGGACGAAAGAGCACCGAGATTTCTGAGGAGCTTCTCGGCTTTCGCCAGACCCTGCCGACTAGGAGGTGTTGGGAATGGGAAATTAATAACGTTGTGAAGGCCCATACTCTTCATCTGAAGCACGACACCTTCAATTGGCGTGCGTAGAATCTCTGGATCTGTGTATTGAGCAAATTCATTCTCGTAGACTGCAGATGAGTAGAGTCGATAGCAGTGGCCGGGCCCAGTTCTACCAGCTCGTCCTGCTCTTTGATTGGCACTGGCCTTGCTGATCCAGTTGACCTGAAACTTCTGCACTCCTGTATCTAAATCGTACTGTTTCTCCTTGGCCCGCCCACAATCAAACACATATCGTATACCCGGGATTGTTAAACTAGTCTCGGCCACGTTAGTCGCTAGAATGATGAGACGTGAGCCCTCGGGCGGTGGTTCAAAAACTCTCAGCTGTTCCTTTGTGGGAAGTTGGGAGTACAACGGTAAAACATGCACTCGGGTGGATGATCCCATTGCTTCTTCGCCGAGGTCAAAGCCATCATCGTCATCATCGTCGTTATCTAGACCGGTAATTTCGAGGTCACTGTCGTCATCTTCGTTGCCAACCTTGGAAAGATCAGCGTCCCCAATGTCTAGATCTTCCGCTTCCAGTGGTGCATCGTTCGCAGAGATCTGCACTTTAGCCTCAGTTTCCCCACCCCGCTGCGTAGGCTTGAAGGCCTGCTTCAAGCGCTTAGAAAGTTGTCGGATTTCATTCTGTCCTGTCAAAAAGACAAGCATGCCTCCTGGAGGCAGCTTACGATGACCTCTCGAGACTTTCCGGTACGCCTCCTCAACGTAATCCCTGCGTGTACGTCGGGAAAAATGCACCGTAACGGGGTATTGGCGACCTTCTGCTTGAACCAAAGGCGGTGGTCCCTGGCGGAAGAGATTGGGATTTTGGGTAAAGTCGGAGATTCGCAGAGTGGCAGACATGACCACGAGTTTTAAAGGTTTCACAGCCGGGTCTTCCTCATTCATAGCTTTCCTCAGATCCACAATACGGCTCACCATACCAATGAGGATATCTGTGTTAACACTCCGTTCGTGAGCCTCATCGATAACGATGATAGAATATTTGCTCAACGAGAAGTCTTCCGCAATTTCTCGGATCAGGATACCATCAGTCATGAATTTGATTGCGGTCTTTTTCGAGACAGTGCTCTCAAATCGAATCTGATAAGATACTCGATCAGAGAACTGACCCAACTCATCACCTACACGTTTCGCCATACTGACAGCAGCAACTCGACGAGGTTGCGTTACCGCTATCATGCCCGGATTAGGGCTATCCGGGTTTCCAAAGCCAGCTTCAAACAGAAATTGTGGTAACTGGGTAGTTTTCCCGCTACCAGTAGCACCCCATATAACGACAGAGGAATTGTTGTAGATTGCCTCCATAATTTTCTGTTCTTCTCCGACCACGGGCAACCCCAACCGTGCATTTTGTATATCCTCCGAGCGGTCAACTTGGACATGGAATGCCTTTCTGTAGGGGTTGCCTTTGGTAACTTGAAGTTCTGCGGGCAGTGGTTCTTCTTCGTAAACAGTATTCCGCACAGGCTTTTCTTTCAATTTGGGGTCGAAGGGTTGCTCTTCTGATACGATAGGACCGGTAGTGGGCTTGAAACCGACTGTTTCGTTGATTTGTTGTCTGGCCCAAGCTTTGAATGCGGACTGGCGAGGCTGGTTGCTGGTACTGTCGTCCTCCTCTTCTTCCTCATCGCCTTCGTTCTCATCATCGTCGTCGCTTTCTTCTTCCTCTTCTTCATCCTCATCCTCATTTTCGCTTTGGTCATCCTCAGAAAGGCCCTCTGAAGAGTCCTCATCCTCGTCTTCATTCACCCTATCCAGTGCTTCCGCGTCTTCGTCTTTGCGTTTCTGATCATCTGAGGCGCTGCTGATCTCGCTCTCATTTTCGCCTTCATCCGAGTCAAATCCCTCCCACGGTAACTCTTGTATCTTGGTGGCCTTCGTTTTCAATTTCGGCGCTCGTTTGCGCTTTTTGAGGACAGGAAATCCGTCCGCTCCAAGTTCGAGAGGGCGTTTCAACCCGCTACCAACCACGACATGTTCTGTCGGCTTCTCAGTGGGAGCTTGTGCCTTAGGAATAGCGAAATTTGTCCCCGAAGGTGGGAGTGAATCATCTGATTCGTCGCCCGACAACTCCACATTATGGAGGGCACTGTCATGTGTATGCCTAGATGCTTCAATGGTACCGTTTTCGTCAAGTCTTTTGCGCTTCCCTATTTCTCTAGAACTCTCAAACTTGGAGGTGTCCAAAGTTGTTTTTTCAAGCTTCTTGAGCAGTTCAACATTTTCTTCTTTCTTGAGTTTATTTTCCTGCAGAAATGGTTAGAATGGACGGTATACCCCACAACTCATTTATTGCATAGAGTCTACATACAATATATTTATCTAAGCGTTTTTGTTTCTTTGCTGAGATTTTGGTGTGTTGCGCTCTCAATTCCTCTCTCAGCTTCTGCCTTTTGGCTTCCTTCTGTTCTTTAGAGATGGGCAAAACTTCAGCGGCATTGCTGTCGACCGCAGCATCTGCCGCCTCCTTCTGCCTGTGCTTCTGCTTCCTCTGACGAGGTACAAACTTAGGCATGGTGTTGGGGCAATGATACCTTTGTCCACACCAACAGACAAAGAAAAAATTTATACAGAAAAAGCAGATTGATGAGCTTTGTGGTGATGGTCAATGGAAAGAGAAGAAAGAAAAATTAGGCGGCGGAGAGATTCTGCCATAAAGCGGTGAGGTTATGTTCACCGCCCACGTATGTAACTCAATCCCCTCCATGGAAACTTGTTTACAACTTCATGTATCAGAACGTATTTCCCCTCACTGCATTCTGAGTAGACAGTCCTTCTTTCACTGCATTTTTTGTATCGCTCAGAGCAAGCCCCTAACCATGGCCGAACCTTTCAATCTCAGTGAATCCCAGGAGCCGCTAAACCTTCCCTTTCCTGCCACTACCAAACAAGTTGCTGGACTGGTCAATGGTATCCAGACAGATGTTATGTGCATGAGCTTCAATGACAGAATTTTGGTAACAATTTCACAAAAGGGCCGACTTGGTCATTGGGTTTGTAGTCCACAAAAAATTCATCTTAGATAGCCAACTAACGGATGGCAGTTACATGTACCATTGGAAAACAAAAATCCTGGAACTGAAGGCGCTCACACCTTCCCAGACTCGGATGACAGTCTGCTTCCGATCAGCAGTCTCACTGCGACTTCACTCCTGGGAGGCCGTGTTTCTGGACATGACACAGTTGGTCAGCTATATGCTCGTCAGATTGCTAGTGCAATTGTGACAAAAACACCGACTGAAAAGCGGCTTCTGGTCGTCGGACTTGGACTTGAGACCGCTCATGCTGATCGGGATGTTTTCTTCGCAATCATAGACCTTGTGCTTCAATGCATCTAAGGTTGGAGAAAAGAAAAAAAGAGACACTCACAAAGCCAAATCGAGAACCCTGGTCCCTGTATCTTCGTTTTAATCCGCTCAATCTTCAGGGGTGGGTCCCGTAAAGCGTGGGTAAGATGGCACAGGCGGTTTCTTTCCTCCTCGGTAAAGCCGCGAAAATTTAGCCTTCCAAGAAATTTGAACGCTCCGCTAAATAAGGCGTTGACCAAGTCTTTCTCATTGAAACCGGGCAAGTTCCAGTTCTCTGTTACAACAACGGTCAACGAAAAGATACGCAAGGGCTCGGCCGCTTTCAATGCTGTAATGAATTCTGAAAACGCCCAACGACGATGCAATGCCACTCTAGGGTTCTCTGCCCCTATCAAAAATACGACGGATCCCAGTGGTCTGCTCCAATTAAGATGTTCGTTGCGACAGGGGTATTCAAGGTTGACCTCAAACTCCTTAGAGCGACAACACGGTAACGGCTTCGGATGACGTCTGAGAAGGTCAGCGGAGTAAGGACCATACGCTCGGAGAAAGAGCTTGCGGTAACTAAGCGAATGGTACAGGGCAATCGACGCTTCATGGTAAATGAGGTGCGACGTCCTGAGAATCTGTAAATTCCCGATCCCTGTGTGTTCGAGTCTCCCGATCTCGAGGGCAGTTCCGTTATGCGAAAACAAAGCGGCATAGATTCTGAACCTTACGTCGATTGGCAGGCGATAAAGGCAACAGCTACGATAGCGGCAACCGACAACTAGTTCTCTTCTGACCATCTTGCATGCCTCTGGAACAATAATATCATGATAGTTTGGCTGTCCATCGTACGGTATAAGTCGAGTGACATTGCCCTCGGCGACTCTCCTATAAAAGCGAACGATGGTCCTACAATCCATGTTCTTGTTAGCGGGGAGTTTCGTTGAACAGTGTGCGTTGATAGATGAGACAACTTACCCTGGGTTACTTGGTTCGAGACGATTGAAGGTCGGCTTGCTTGTCGGTCCCTGCAGACTGGTGTCTTGCTTATGGACTAAACCCCCAGATTCTTGGGGGGCTGAATCCATGTTTTCACCTGATAGGGGTACGGGAAATAGCTTCACTCAAAGCTAAGGGAGGTCGGCTTCCTAAGGAGCCATCAAGGGGCATATCAATTATTTGTTGTGCTTGGTGTGAATAAAAATGTTTAAAAGTAGAGAAGGTAGCGAGGGACAAGAGAATTCAATTATTCTCTAAATTGCATGCAGTATTTTACATTCATTCACTGCAATAGGTAGCCAGCCAACTCTTTCAGCCAACAGAAGGAGGAAAAGAAAGAACCATGGCACAAACCAGGACTGTATTATCACAGTGGATGCCTTGCAATACTCGAACAATAAGCTCATTACCATTCCTTGTATCCATTCAAAGCCTGTATATAATGATGCGGACAATGAAGCTTGTATACGGGCTTTGCTCTTTGTTACGGTCTCTCTATTTAGTACACTTAGGCAGGATAGGCCGCAACTGCCCCCTTGGGGGGGGGGGGACTTTAAGCCAAATATTGTATATCATGATCCCATATCCCCGACTACTTCCAGACGATCGATGATAAAGTATGTACATATCCTTGCAGTCACGTGTTGCCGGGGAGACTGGATGGCTATCATTGGCGGAGTTCCTCCTCTCTTCAATGGATGTTTCTTGTTGTCTCCTGCTTTGCTTGCCTTTTCTTTCTTTCATTACCCTCCACTTCTTTCGAACGCGTTTTTATCTTTTCTTTCAGTATTACGCTTATCTTGAAGTCCTTGGTTCCTATTTGGTTGAGGACTTAACCATCTGAACAACCAGAGACTCCCGTGACGTCTTACTGTAAACACAACGCTTTTGTGTTCCGTATCACGACAAATCCTCCATCTATCTATGTTCTTTGTCAAATCATGAGCCTCTACTAACCACACAATTACCTCTCTCGAGTTGCCATTCCCTATCTCTCTCCCTCTCCCCCTCTCTCCCTCTCTCCCTCTCAGATTTAACCCTACTTTGCTGTCAGACGCCTCACTTGGAGTATTCAATGATCTAAGATGAATTCCGACGGCTTAGATGATCCTGATCTGAAGGCAGCAATTGCTGCCTCTCTAAGGGACTCCAGTAATCATGAGGAGAGCAGCCACAGCGGGAATCAACATGAAGTTGTTGACTTGACTGCAGATTCTGATGATGACGTGGTACCCATATTTCCCAAATCAAACTCCGTCATTGGGTCCGAGACTGATGAGGATGAAACCGATTCGGGTGAGGAAGATAGCGGTGAAGAAGATGAAGACCTTAAGAGGGCGATCGAATTATCTATGCAAGGTGCCATAGAAGATGAAGATGGCTCTTCGAGACCTCACTTGTCATCTGCTGACAACAATGACAGCAAGGTTTCTAGCGCCCCTTTGTCCAGTAGAGCTGAAGTTCCAGCAAGCATACAGGCCCCGACACAAACAGCCAGCTTATTGGGTTTGGATCGAAGGCAGATGGAGAAAGAGCGCCTGGCGCGACTGAACAAGAGGAAAGCCGAAGAATCCGTATCGGATGACCAACGGGGTGCAAAGCACGCGAGAACTGAAACGCCTCTAAGATCTCCCGGTCCTGCTATATCAGCGGCTGGCACGTCGTCTAGATCAGATTCCTCATGTACAACGCCAGCAGAACATGTTCAGCAAATACAGATCCCATCTCCGACTCCGTCGGTTCAGTTTCCTACCGGAGTGGTTAAGAAAACATGGGTCTTTGGTTGCCTCCGTCAGGGTGATGATATCAAGATCGAGGAGGTCTTTCAGAAATCTGACTTACAACTTGCTGTCCTCAGCTCTTTTATGTGGGAAATGGAATGGCTTTTCTCAAAACTGAATACAGCAAAAACCCGATTCTACTTGGTGATGCAAGCCAAGGATGAATCTACAGTAAGTTCTCTTCAGCGTTATTCACATAGTTATAGTCTGGCTGGACCATGAACCATACCCTGGTCCTTATTTTCTTACCTTGGTGTTCAGTCTTTGGAACGTGAAGTTAACCACCTTTGTGGTTCTAGAAACTTCAGTACAAGTCCGAAACAGCTGCTATGAGCAACCTTAGGTTATGCTTTCCACCAATGGATGGCCAAGTGAATTGCATGCATTCAAAGCTGATGCTACTCTTCCACTCGGGATATGTTCGGATTGTGGTCCCCACTGCCAACTTGACTCCATATGACTGGGGTGAAATAGGTGGACTCATGGAAAATGTACTGCATGATCCGACATTCCTATCCGCTACTGGCTAACCATAATCTAGACTGTTTTTATTATTGATCTACCAAAAAGGACCGATAAAGACTCCGAATTTTCACAAACAGCCTTTTACGACGAGTTGACTTACTTTTTAAAGGCTAGCACTTTGCACGAGAATATCATCGCTAAACTCGCCGATTATGACTTCAGTAAAACCGCGCATATTGCATTTGTCCACACTATGTAAGCTCCTTTACACTGACAGCATGGTCTGATCTCTGATTCCATTTAGTGGTGGCTCGCATATGGGAGATTCGTGGCGGCGTACAGGGTACTGCGGCTTAGGACGTGCAGTGGACTCCCTTGGTTTGCGAACATCCAAACCTCTCAACATCGATTTTATTGTGAGTCTACAATTATACCAGTTCATAGAGCAGTTCCTGATATACAATAGACGTCATCCGTTGGCTCCTTGACAGACGAGTTCTTGAGGTCTATATATCTCGCATGCCAGGGTAAGCAATAGCTGAGCGCGATGCCCCATCCTAACGCGAGTCGCAGGATAACTCTGTGTCTAGGCGACGATGGATCGACAGAATATGTTCTTCGCACCGCAAAATCCTTCCCTGCCCGGAGCCGCAGCAATCCTGCACAGCTTATTGACAAGTCTATGGCCGAAGGGTGGAAGGATAGATTCAGAGTCTACTTCCCCTCAGAGACAACAGTCAATAACACAAAAGGTGGGCCACAATCCGCAGGTACAATTTGCTTCCAATCAAGGTGGTATACGGGTCCGAAATTCCCTCGGCAGGTTCTGCGCGACTGTATAAGTCAGAGGCCAGGACTACTGATGCATAATAAAGTAAGTCACTATGGTTTTTGAGGGAAACGGAAGTACACACTGAGCTTATGCTAGGATGCTCTAGATCCTCTACGTAAGACCAGATGACCCAGCGACGCTACCTGATAACTCCCAATGCAGAGCCTGGGCTTATGTGGGAAGTGCGAATCTTTCAGAGAGTGCTTGGTGAGTGGTCTCATATCATGCTCACCCTCTGATTGTGCCTTGCGATTCGGGAAACTTATAATGAATAGGGGCCGTCTCGTTCAGCAGCGGGCAACAAAGGAACCGAAACTCAACTGTCGAAACTGGGAGTGCGGTGTGCTCGTGCCAGTCATAAGTAGAGAGGATGCCGTGTCGGGGCAGAACAAATCCCCGAGCGATGAGTCTGGGACTATGTTAGATGCTTTCAAAGGCGTTGTCCCCGTGCCGATGCGTCTCCCAGCACCTCAGTACGGGCCAAACCGCAGGCCTTGGTTCAATTCAGAAAGTGGAATGTGATCTAGATTGGATTTCTGTTCTAGCTTCACTCAGCCATTGATCATGCATCTAGATAGTCCCATTAAATATCCAATTTAATACGTATTTAAGAGATACATGATTGGCAAGGTGGCCCTGAACATAGAGATAATCCGTAGAATAGTCGGGGCAATGTGTTCCCCGTCCTTTAGCATGAGATAATATAGCTTCCCATTCTGGCAACAAAGAGGCGGACTGCACACGCTCGGTGTGATTCTTTGATATCCTCTGATCCCCACTCTAGAACCATGCCTTATCAGGCCTCTCAAACAAAACCGACCATGTAGCAAAAATGGAAAAGAACCGCGATGGTCTAAAATAAAACGACACAAATATCTAGGGTTTGCCCCATGTAACCTCCGAAAACAACGCGATTCCACGAACTAGCATAACGAAGGGATAATGAGGTTTCATCATGATGCTAGTGGTTATTTGACTTATAACCCACATGTGTAGATACTTCAGGCCATGCGATATCCGTCATAGATCCCTTCGTCCACCTTTTATTTTTTTTATTTTTTTTTCTCTCTATTTTTCCTGCTGCTTGTAGTATTGTACGGCCCAAAATGAAGTCTGGTATTGTTTCTTCGCTGAGTTTTGCCTTTGCTGTTCCCCCTGGTACTGCTAATCCTAATTATAGTAGTACTGGCGGTGTTGATACCTGTAGTACTGTTGGCAATACTGGTGGTACCGGCGGTATTGCCATTGGTGCTGGTGGCCCTGACATTCGTCTTACTAGGGGTACCAGTCGCAACATGCCGGGCAAAACACGTCAGTAAGAAAGATACGTCGAAGGGCGTACGGCCCAAATCAAATTCAGTCCACAAAAAGTATCACTAACAATACATATCTTGAAGCAATGCACGATGCGCGGTATGTATGGCAGATGTCAGGTAACGGATGCCAATGGAAATGTCTGGGTTGCTCCTTGTCATTCGAAAAAGCCCCGGTAGGAAGAGGAAAACCTTAGCACCATATTGCAAGTGCGTTTTGTTTTTGTGTTTTGTTGGAGGGAGCCATACGTACTGATCTTGGATAGTGTGCTACGATAGGGCATCGTCTGTGCAATATTGATACTTTGCGGCTTATGGCGGTGTGTTCGTGAGAGGAGAGATTTAATAAGCTCTGTATCATCTTGCGAGATATCGATACGGGGTTCCTACTTTTCAGCGCGGGGAGGTTGGTATATATATGCATGAATTATATTAACGCTGTCTATGAACAAAATGCTTTTTTCTATCTATGTCTCCTCGGGATATCACTCATATTCCATTCCACATTAAATCTCTTTCTCCTTTACTGATTTATCATCTCCCCCCCCCCCCCCGCGTCGTATTGCTTGTTTCTGCTTTCCTTCTGTTTCGAATTGATCGATGGAAAGTTGAACACCCCAATCAAAAACTAGAACATCAACCACCGTCTAGTTCTGTTCCTTTTCGGACTTTTTCGAGAAGACCTTTTTCACACCATCAATGATCATACCGAGTCCACCGAACAGGTATCCGATTCCGAAGGACCATCCCCTAACGCGGACAGTGTAGATGAAGAAATAAACCAACGCCCAGTTGATAATCACGAAGGCCAGGAAGATACCAAAGCACCGCCACTTATCGCCATCGTGGACGTTAAGTGTGTGCATGTATTCTGTGCCGTTAGCGTAGGGGCAGTATTGGCAGTCGTCCGTGGCGTCCGGGTTGACCAGGTATCCCACTCCAGCGATCTTGGAAACGAAGTCTCCTGCGTACTGTTGGCAGGTGGAGCCTGGGGGAGGGTTGAAGTGGGTAGCTTCCTTCGAGGCACATTCGATGTGGACAGAGGGGAAAACGCTTGAGATCACGCCTCGGAGCCACCAGGTTACTGGGTTGACGTAGTACATCCAGTATTTCCAGAAGACCGGGTAGTCTTGGTATGGACGGACGATACCGTTGAACAGGTTGACCATGACAAAGAAGAATGGAAGGACCTGGGGAGGAGTGTCAGTATGGCGAATCGGATTGGGCATACTAAAATAAAAACTTACGTTGGAAATCACTGTGAACGACGGGGCAAATGCACAAATCCATTGACCCCAGCTGGCCTGGAAGAGGAAGAAAAGCATCGACATGAGAAAGACGTATCCAGCGCTGCTCGAGTCCGTGGGGAAGCCGACTGGGTAGTACCAAAGCAGCCAATAGATCAGGGCAGAAACGATTGCCATCGGAATCTCACAAACAACGTTTGCCGTGCAGAAGGCGAACCATCCGTAGATACGGCTAGGATATTCACGAGCTTCCCAAAGGGCACGGTTGATATAGAACTTGGGGACGATACTGTTTAAGACAATGGGAGGGATCAGAATGATCAAGAAGATAGAGAACATGCGATTTTGCATGCTACTGATTGAGTTATCGAGCATCCAGAACGTCTGTCCTAGTCAGCAATGCCCAAATTCAAAGAGTGGAGGTTACTTACGAATCCGTTGAAAATACCAATAATGACACTGACGAAGAGCTTTCCGTAATAGTACGATGGATCTCTCCAGTACTGTCTGAACAGTCTCTCGGTGAGTAGAACAGTCTGTGTCCATGTAGGAGCAGCAAACTCATATTCGACACCCTTCTCGGCAATTGGGATCTTGCTGCGTTCTTCTCTGATCTGCTGAATTTCGTCCAGAATGCGGCGGTTCTGTTCAGAATTGCGCCACTCTTCATTCCAATCAATAGATCTACCATCCTTCTTAGTCGCCTTCGCTGCTGTTTCGAGGATGAATTCTGCGACATTCTTGGATGGTGGGCAAACGACGCCGCGGTCAGCGAAGTACTTAACCACATCGCGACCTTCAGGGCCAATAGGGCCGAAATAGAACGTGTTTCCGCCGGGGTTAAGAGCCAAGACCATGTCGAACTGCTGGATCAGCATGGATGACGGCTGGTGAATTGTGCACACAATAGCCTGTCCCGCTTGAGAGAGCTTCTTCAGGAATCTCACGATGGAGAAGGCTGCCTGACTGTCCAGACCACTGGTGGGCTCATCCAGGAATAGGAGAAGACTCGGTTTCGCAGCTAGCTCGACACCGATAGTTACTCTCTTCTTCTGTTCAACGTTAAGAGAACCAATGATAGCGTCCTGGATATCCTCCAACTCCAACAGGTCGATAATCTGATTCACATAGTCAAGCTTTTCTTGACGAGGGGTGTCCCTGTCCTGACGAAGAATTGCCGAGAACTCAAGGGCCTCCCGAATGGTCGCGGTATTGTCGTGAAGATCCATTTGTTCACAGAAGCCAGTGCCTCTTTGGAAATCGGTACCGAGAGGATGACCGTCAACAAGCATATCGCCAGTGACCACACCCATCTTCTGACGCTGAGCTAAGGTGTTGAGTAGAGTGGTCTTGCCTGCTCCAGAGGCACCCATTAAAGCGATCATAAGACCGGGCTTCGCATAACCGTTAACGCCGTTCAGAAGTTTCCGTGTCCCATTTCCGTATGGCACCGTGTATTCTACATTCGACCAGGTGAAAACTCGGTCGCTAGCAGAAAGGCGCTGCATGGATTCGCCGTTGCTAGAAGACTTCGCTTCGCCACGTGACAATGCCGCATTATCGCCTGTATTTTGTACTTGCTCTTCATCATTACCTTTGCCGTTTTGCGCTCTGAGTTTCGTGGAACGCTTGGACTTCTTGAAGACCAATGCGCCGCCGCCGCCTCCAACAAATGAGAGAACTTCAGCAGCTATGACAGTGACAAGGAGGTAGAGAACCGTGAAAGCGATGACCACGCCAAAATTGCGCCACAAATGGTGCCGGGTGCTATGGTATGTGAGTGTGTTGATAGTTGAATAGTAACGGACAAGGGGTACTTACAATTGGAAAGTTTCTTCAAGATACCGACTTCCTGCAACGTTTGCCTTACCAAGCTCGGACCCCGTGAGAGCACAACCTTGGTATCTTGGATCCACACCTGGGCCTTGAGGCACGAGCTGCGAAGGAGCACATGGCATAACTCTGTTCGAGAATTCGTTCGTAAGGACTGCCTCATAACTGTACGAAAGCGGGTTCACGTAGAACAACCAACCGAACCAAATTGAGCCATCAATGAGTCCTTGCTTGGGAATGACATAACCCACGAACAGAATCAACACGTTCAGAGCAATACCAGCGAACCTGACGGCATCGTCGATAGTCGGAGATAGTGCTGCGAACATGCGATACAGGGACGTGATACAGAACGTCGTTGTGTACACAAACAAGAAGTAAATAAAGAACTTGGACGCATCCACATCGAGTCCCGTCATGAAATATACGATGATGGTGAACGGCACAACCATGCAGAAGATTGCCGGGAAATCGACCACAACTCGGGCGATTGCCACGGCAGACGGACGGTAGAAGGCATAATCTTTATGGCGTGCGACGATACCACGCCCGGAAACCGCAGGCATCAGTTCCGTTAGCTGCAGCCAACCGAGGAACAAAATCGAAAAGAACAGGGCACCACCACGCGAGAAAGCTCCACTAGTATCCAATGATTCGCCATAGAACAAAGAAGAGACGATAAGACCGTTTGAGACAATAATGAAGTATTTGGTATACAGGGAGGTCTTGTCTCCCCACAGGAGCCAAAATTCTCGCTGCACACAAGCCGCGACTTGTCTGACAATAGAGACCGTGTAAGGGGACTTTTTCGAGACCGTCTTACTCTTTGACTGAGCCACAGTTTTCTGGAAGCGGCGAGTGTCCTCCTGGTTAGTGTCCTGTAGCAATTTCTCGTACGCACAAACTTCATTCCAGATCTGCTTGTATGCTTCACTCTGTTTGAAGATCGCCTCGAGTTCTTCAGCGGTCTTTGGCGTCGACGCTTCGCGGCCTGGCTGGAACTGGCGGGCATTCGGGTCACACAGGGAAGTGAGAAAATCAGCAGTTGTGGATTGTTCCGGGCAATAAAACCCGAGATCCACAAAGTACTGCTTTGCTTCGTTGGCAGGGCCTTGATAGAGCATACGTCCCGCATCGATCACCAGAACCTTGTCCATTAGCTCATAAATACTCTCACCAGCTTGGTACAGAGTAACCAAAGTAGTCCGCTTGCTGACGTCCGTCATGATACGAAGCGACTTGGCATAGTCAAGAGCAGTGCTGGCATCCAGTCCTCTGGTGGAGTTATCCCAGCAGACGACGGAAGATTTAGTTGCGAGCGTTTCAGCGATACTGACACGCTTTCTCTCTCCACCAGAAACACCACGGACATACTCATTACCCACAAGGGTATTCCTTGTATGGGTGATGCCGAACATTTTTAACAGGGCGTCGATAATAATGGGTATACTAGCTTTATCATGTTTCTTTGTCTTGTTAATCAAAGAGAACTTCAGCGTCTGCCAGACCGTGAGGTTCGGGAAATGCTGATCATCTTCCTGGTTGTAGTTCACCTCGCCGCGGAAATGCTTATGCTGCTCTTCCGCTGAGAGGCCACCGTAACTGACCTCACCCTCAACCCCTGCGAAGGCTTCCCGGTCATTGGCAATCGTCTTCAAGAAGGTGGAACAGCCTGCTCCAGGCCTACCAAGCACTAACATCATTTCGCCTTCCCTAACAGCTCCACTGAAGTCGTGGAGCAAGTTTCTTACCGGAGGACGCTTACCGAAGTGGAGAGCAGGTACGAAGCGGCACACGATCTTATACAGGTCGGGACCAAAAGTTCCAATGACAGCATCAGGAAGGGTCCGGACGAAGGAGGCACCTGTCTCGACGCCTTTCACCGTGACATTCTTGAAGGCAACGCCCACCTTCTTCGCCGGCTCTCCTGCCGTCGTTCGTCGTTCCAGATGGCCACCCATCAAAAAGTCACTTAGATCGAACCCACCCTGGTACTCATCCGTAGACGAGGCCTGTTCATCCTCGAGCGCCTTCTCCTCATCGCGACCCTCGGCCCGTGAGCGCCGCCGAGCGTCTTTGGCTGAACGAGTCCGGTGGAGACTGAGCTTGGTGACTTCCCTTCGCATCTCTTCGAATTCCTCCATCGCACCCCGACGGGAAACAGGGTCACCCTGGTTGCGTTCGCCCCATCTTGCGTCCGCATCAGCCGAGGCATCGGTTTCACTGGTCGAGGTCGAGTTTAAAGAATTCAGCGTATGCTCCGAAGCCACCGGGTGGTTGTAGGGGTTCGCAGCCGTATTGGACGATGCCTCAGGCTGACGATGTTCGTCGGCCATTTTGGGAACAGCCTCGTCTCGTGTTCTTTCGTATGTGCGGTATCAGATTCGAAGCCAGCAATCGATGCCCGGTTGAGTATTAATCGTAGTAATAGAATTAGAGATCCGTTAGGACCGGTCTGGTGACTTCTTCAGCCGATTATAAAAAAATATATATATAAATAAGAGATGTCAGATGATTCAAAGTGATTTCAAATGACGGGTATCTGCGGTGGTTGTTTAGTGGGTATAGATACGTATATATATACAGGAATCAATAGAGAAAGACAAAGATTAGGTAGACAATTGAGAAGAAAAGCGACCGCTCTCCTGTACGCGCTTTCCAAGAGGGGAGAGGGTCCAAAATGATATACCAACAAGGGCACCCAAGCGCAACAGAAGAAGCTGTTGACAGGGAAATCGAAGTGGGTGATGGAATTGCATCATGAGTTATATAAACGGCTAGCTGCATTACTAACTCCGGCAACCAAACAACGGGAAAATTCTTTGGATTTGTCAGATCTGGCAGGTGAATAAGGCCAGTGGATACTCATATGTAGGGTCCAATCTCAAGAAACGGAGAAGACGGATTAAACCAGTCAATCAGAAGACAGAATGAGGGCAGAATATCCGTCGAAGAGAGCCGAACGGTGGAGCGCCACAGGAAGAAACGAGAAAAAAAAAAGAAAAAAGTGTATTAAGGAGAGCTCGCCTGAAGGAGCTCGGGTGGGCCACCGAAACCACGCTCGGAGTGGATCTGAGTGGATATTGAGTCAACTTGAGTCAACTTGAGTCGAGCGGAAAATACATTCCTCTGCGGAAACAAGAGTTGGTTATATCCGGTTCTTGACTTTTTTTTTTATGATGTTTCCCACCCCACCCACCCCCATCACGATCATCAGTTGTAGTTTAATGGAGGATTCGGATGGAGAGGAGGTGTGTCTATCTGTCAAAAGAAGCTAAGAAAAGAAAGAAGAAGAAGACCGCTCGCGGGAGGCTGACATGTTGCGGTTTCTTAATCTGGATTAGTGTGGCGGAGATAAACGCCCGGTGTTAGAAAAGATTTGCGTCTTTGCTTACAGAAGGACTCGTGCTTGATGGGGACTAGACCATCGTCCATTACCTCCTCCCACACCATGATTGGTCCAGGGCTTGACCAGCTGCCTATCATGGAACGGGAATGAATGGGGGTTACCCTAAAATTCCCTATGATGGCGAGAACCAACCGGGTTTAGTTCAGGAGTAAACCCGATGGCGGATACCGTGTTCCTTCACTTAAAATGCCTGGAACTAGATAATGAGGTAGATCCGTCGTATTCAGTTATTATAACCAACGGAATATCTTAAGGGCGCCATAAATCCGTTGTGGGTTTAACAGTAACTCCGTGCAAAACAGAAAAGAGCTTAAGTCTTCCCTGCGTGCTTACATATTGAAATTCAATTCGAGCATTGTATTCCGTACATAGTACGGATTTTGAATTAATATAGTCTACTATTGTCATGGGTCTCTCTCTCGCTCAATTCAGGAAGTTGGAACCTTGATGACGCGCATCTCAAAACTTGCGCTTGCGATATCTCTCTTGAGAAGAAAAGAGTTGGATGAGAAGATTAGGAAAAAAGAACAAGTCTAAGAAGAAGAGCCTAGTCGCCCCTATGCTTACACTCGCTTGGAAATTCTTCGGACGAACCAAGATATAAAGTCGCTGAACTTTGTCGGCACTGGCCGTTCAACAATGCATCCAGGCTCTTTTTTTTTTTTTACTTAGGTTTACTCGGATCTCTTCCCGGGTTAGGGGTTGGTCGGCACCCCACCGAAGAGAAAAGAACCTTAGGTCGACTCAGTTGGCTGCACCGCACGGACCTTTGCCGGCCTCGAACGAGTCAGCCGTTCGGCAATTGCCTTCTCGGAATCCCGGCCTATCAACTGGTGATGCAGCAGCAGCAGCAGCAACAGCAACAGTAATCGTCCCTCTTATTAGTCCAAGTTGATCGCTTAGACCGCTTTTCCGATGTATATCTTAAGTTTTCTGTCTCCAGCTGTCTAAGTTTGCCCTCAAGCCACCAATCTGATAGATCATCATCGAGGCTTGCTTATTATATCTTGGCATTCTCCATAGCGGATCATGGCGTCCAATGGCTTACGGCCCAAGGTTTCCATAAATTCGAGGCTGTGTTGATTTCTCAGCTATCTGCATCTTATCTTTAGGATTGATTATACATAAGTATCTACTGGAATATTCGACTGACGATATCGATTATAAATGCGGTTCTTGGCTTCACTCTCCTTGAGAAATTAGGTCGAAACCAGGATCTAGTCTAATCTATATCAGTATTAGTTCATGTGTCCTGCTTACTCCGTTGAGATCACATGTCAGAAGATGCAACTAACCCCAAGGTTCCACTGTAGCCTGCAGTATAAATAGTATCCCTGTTACTAGTATATTAGGTATGTTAGTCAAACCCGCCGCTTAGGCCGCAATTACAAAAAGCATATCTATCACGGATGAGTTTCAATCGCATGGACGTACAGAAAAGATTCGCGTCACCTTTCCAAAAAAAAAAAAAAAAAAAAAAATCCCCCGTTCTTACGTGGCACTGTTTATGCAACCCCGAGGAACTTGGAACTATACACCGAGTACAAATGATGACACTCCAATGGAAACACTGGTAGTTTCTGGCCTACCACATCCTAATCGTACTGTCATCACCGGCTATCAATTACCACTTTTTTTGAGTCATTGGGGGAGGTTTATCAATACCCCCTTGACATAATATGATGCAGCATCCATGCCACCCACACCTTCACGTATCACACCGCATATTTGTAAGGAATCGGTTACAGCTCAGATTCCCATAGGCCAATGTATCCGGATATCCGTTGGTGCTTACAAAGCCTATCTTATGCAATTATTCCCATTTAACGACGATTCCCGGTCATGAACGGGGAATGTTCGCATCGACAATAGGACTAATGCAACTCTATCGCCTAAGCCAAGCGTAATCGGTCACTACCGAAAAGGCCCAGCCTTTTGATTATTTATGTAATGAGTGCGATCCATTCTTTCCTATACTTAGGGATCGTGTTTTCTATAGATCACTGTTAATGGATGCTTATTTTGAGAAGTCTTAATCAGTAGAACATAAAGTAAGTAGTAGGATCATGTTCTTGGGGTGCTCAACTGTCGGAGATGAGAGACTAGACCCGGAACATGTAGATAACACTTTACAGACCCCATTATGACACAGCAGGCGAATAGTCTAGCATTCGTGACCTGTTCTCACCTCAATCCCTATGCATTTCCCGGAATCGACTGTTGGACCAGCCAACGTCGGTTGCCAGCTTCGAAACCTGATTTCTCAGAATGCCAACTTGATACCTGCATGAAACACTACCTACTATACTATGTAGAGGTAGGCAGCAGCATTGATGCCCAATTAAATGCCACAAGGAGGCGAATTGTGGGCCTTTGTGAGCACAATTGTTTGGTCTGGAGCATTTGAGATATACCTACATGCATAAACGTGATAGCGCAGATTCGGAAAACTAAGAATCTGATACATTTAGTTCATTTACCAAACCTCGTGCTTCCTAAAGATCGGCGATGTCAATCTGACACAGCTCGCTAGGCTCGGAAGAGACGGTTATTTATATTTAGTTAACATATATTACTTAATCATAGAATGAGAGCCACTGTCATAACTCGCAGAATATAGACTATGGAAAAGCGAATAGCAAAGGAGCAGATATCTATCAGGCCAAGCGCGTCTGCCCACACTATGTAGAAGAATACCATAAAGTTAATAAATATTAAAGGATACAAATACAAATAGAAGATACTAAGACTAAAATATTCAAACTACTAGAAGGATAATAGCGACATAAAATGTGGAAGCCAGCTTCTAAGCAGTAGATCTTACAATGCTTTTACACGTTGTTATCTAGGATTAGAGGATCGCAACCTAGATTGATAGTAGTAGTCTTTTGGACATGTGGGATACTAGAACCTGATCAGGATCATGGAGTTAGAAAAGTTGATAACTACTATTATACTTATCACCCTGAGTTTCTTGAGAGCGTTATTGATAACGTTGTACTCGTTTACTTATGATAGTCTATCTGTAAACAGTACATGTGAGCCTCGTTTATATGGTACTGTTGACGATAACTATCCAATGAAAGGCTTTGTATATTTCCCAGGTATAGATCCTAGTAACCCTTTTTCATAAGTAAGTCGTAGTATAACAAGATGAGGACTTGAGGCACAGAACTGTTATCAGCAGATGTTGCCAACTGTTTGTGTCTAACTTTGACTAAATTTACAAGATGGGTGATGAGCTTTGTTCAAATGCGAACCCGATACTTTAGCCACTAGTACGTGACCCTGTGTCGAATTACACCCAGACGGTATATTCACGTTTCTATACTAGGAGCAGTTCAGGGGTTTCAATATTATACAGTTTCTGCCTACGAACCCAGTGGATCTCGTCGCTTCGGTACTTCATCTTGGCCTGGCAATTAGAGAGTGGAGCTCTTTCGAAGTCGAAACACCCTACTAGGGTGATGCAGAGAAACTAGACCTACTCGCACAAACTCGCCCATTCATCGTCTCACTTGACATCGATAAAAAACTTCTGCAGCACCGCATTACAATCGCCACTGGAATACTGCGTTGAAGCATTCCTAACAAGGGGATTCTTACGATAACAGCAATATTGAGATAGACTAGAGTCAAAGAACTATGAACCAGTACTGGGACATTGTCAACAATAAGCTGGACTATGTTGTACTTATGTAATACTTTTAGTACAGGACTCTAAATTTGCCTCGCCAATTCGTCCAAATATCCGATGACCCTCTCAGCCAGAATCCGTCTTGGCTCCGCTTGGTCGGGGTCACTTAGCGCATGTGAAGCATTGGGGATAATCATACTCTTCGGGTGCCAGGACTGTCCCGCTGCGGTGGACCAGCGTTTCAACAAACCCTCCTTGTTCACCCACGGTGGCACAGACTGATCTCTTCCCGAGTACAACACCATAAGCTTAGATTTTAGAAGCCCACGGAGCCCAATGACACCAAATGTCTGTTGAAGCTGTTCATCACTCAGATCCGAACTAAACAGGTCGTCCTCGTCAGGCTTTTGTGGGCTATCAGGACTAGCCAGGCTAAGGAACCGGCGACTGCTGACAGCTGTAGATGATGGGTATCCGATTCTGGCGGTCACTGAAAGGGGGACGATAGTTTCAACTGTATCGTCATCCTCGTAGGTATTCTTCTTCGCACCTGCAACCGCTTTACGGTAAAGCTCTTGCATTACTTCTGGGCTGTCTCTTTCCGTCCCGTCATTCAAGACGCTAAGAATACTTTCCCTGTCCGAGACAGGTGCCTGCATAATCGCACCATCGACAGGAGTCCTCGTCAATGGTTCAATTTCCCTATCCAGAACTGGATGTCTAGGTCTTGGGTTCGGACAGCTAAGGTAATGCATCACATCTTGACTCCCCGTCGAATGGCCCATGATGACTACCTTTCCGGGCCCAAAGAGCTGTTTCTTATAATCACGCACATACTGAACACACTGCGCAAGCTCATCGATATCTTTCCCCAGACGACCTACGCCCCACCCATTGTAAGAAGAGGACAAAACCAGCGAGAAAACGGACCATTCGCTGTGTTGCAGCGCCGCGACCAAGTCCGTCATATAATCAACGGTCCAAAGTCCATCTGACAAACCCCCGATGAAAATGAGACTGTGCGGCTTCCTTTGATTTCCTCTTGTGAACTCGAAGGCAACTAGTCTCTCAGCCTAGGTGGGATACTGGTATTAGCCACAAATTAGGAACCCAGCCACGGACAATGACATACATATTGATGCAAAATCCCCGGCTGGCCCTTGGCCAACGCATTTGGTAACTTCAGCTGCATGATCACGCTGTCTCGCAGATACCGCTATGCAGCTCAGAGAAGCCAACTTAGATTGGATATCAAGTTCCTTAACGACTAAACACTAGAAATGGTAAGATCAGATAAGACAATGGACCACAGATGCAAAAGATAATAAAAATCAGATAAGACGGAAGTTGGGATTAAATAACGCCAAGACGGGAAAAATATCCGTTCAACACCAACACCAGTGACTAAGCCTCGATAAGAACCAACTACAACTGGAAATGCTGATTGTTCCCTTTACCTCTGTTCTTTCAGACTTGTTTGCCGAGTTTCGTATGTCCCGTACTCTCTAGATGTCTTATTATAGTATCTAGGCTTATCTCTATGATGACACTGGTTTCTCCTGATATGCTTAAGGGTATAACTTATAAGTATGTGCTATATGTGCATAATACCGTATGTATGTACAGTATATATGAAAGCAGATAAATGACATTGCCACTTACCTAGTAGGTACTCTACAGTACATTGATACCGAATTCCCGATAAACTCCCCTTTGCTATTAAAATGATTTCAAGTCTTTAAGATTGCACTGGAACGTTTCTAGGGCAGTGGAGAATCAGCGGTTTTCCCCTGGATAATGGCACGTTTTAGTGCATGTACCTTTAGTCGAGGAACTAATCTTACCCCTGTGATTTCAGATCGATGAATATATTTTTTGGTCATTTTCAATGTCCTTGGGCCTTAGCTAATGGTATTCCTTTGATTTGGATGTTAATTATATTCTCCTAGAGGAGAGAAAAGCAAGCTATGTCTCGAATGTATGGATTCAGGTTGGGGTTTGATTGATCAGATTTATGATCGCACGATCATGTCTGTTCACTGCCTTCTCTGACAATTTCAACCTCTCTAACGCGCTTTTACATGACGCGATTCCAGAGTGAAGCGGCACCGGTCCTTCTTTTTATCTCGTTGAGTTACAGGGAACCAACGGCTGCGGACCTAGCAAATATCTAGCGGGCTATTATGGACTACATCGCAATGCCATAGGCGAGGACCACATTGTTCGCGTGTTCAGTCTTACTCTTGTGAACGATTTCCAAGATTAGAAGCCCTCCAATGTCCATCTCAGTTACATTCTTGGTAGACCATTCTCCGTGCTATCTAACCTCCTAGTCTTTATCGGTGCCGCGAGAGTTACGGCTATGTTGGATCTTGGTAGGTCCTTGCAGCAGGATGAGGTGATACTAACTGACGCTAGTCCACGTCGATAGTCTATGGAGCATATGACTGTGACATCTCATCTCGGAATCGAGGTGGTATCTCTAAACTCTCCTCAGGAAAGCTCAAACCACCTGATAGGAATTGACGGCCAGGTCTACAAGGTCAGGGTACGCGCTAGCACCGGATTTTGACGCCAAGGGAGACTTGACATCGGCTCTATCCGTAAAGCACATCCCAAAACTGCCGGGGCTCCCCGAAATGTGGTTGTCAAAGCTACTACAACAACCTGTTTCGACATCTTATAGGAGCCTCCTACTAGCGCCTATACTGATTCTATCATAGACCACAACGTGTTTTACTGGGACAAATGGGAAGACTGCACCTTAATAACGGGAGGGGCGTTCACCGGAACTTCAGAACACATTAATATTCTCAGAAATTGCGTGGGCTAGAACTAGAAGAATGACATGTACTCTAGAGATGACTGCAATAGATACAAAGGGACAGTATATCTTTATCCAGAGTACCGTTGTTCAGTCCTTTTAGGATTATTCTGTTCATACACTTCTTCCAAGTGTTAGTAGTTATGCCAGAGGTGCATATAGTTATCATACCCTAGCTGCAGCAGTTGCAGTGGCAATGGCCGTCAATACTTCGACCCTGAATATTGTATTGGAGGGACAGATACAAGTCCACAACCACAACAAAACCAACCCACATGCGCAATGAGTATAGCCGCAACTGATTCATGCAACAGGACTTTTCGTTACAAGCCACCTCAAACACTTCACGCGCGACATGTTTCACGACCGAATGTTCAACCGTCCTACACTGCGAAATCAAGTATCGACAACCACCACAGAAACGACCACAAATGTCTGTCCGATTATCGTAAATCCCAGACCAACTGAGAAATGGGGTCCCAATGGCCCCATTCCAACATTCGGATTCGACAATAAAAAGAAAGCCAGCGGTAAGGGACCGGCAACAAAGCAAGCCTACCATCACCGCTACTTCTGAGCCCCCTCATACAACAGCCCTTACCATTGCCCACTATCAGTGGCTCAGGTTTGCTTCTATACTACTGCCTCAAAGACTATAACAATAGCTCGTGCACATCTTCTGAGTTAGACAAATATAATTTAGTCTCCCCGTGTGATTATAGAAACTCTCTAAACTCCCCGAAGCCCGCCATAGGCTTACATATATTCCGACCCCTACAAACAAACACCATCACTTCCGTCCAATAGGCAGACAATCAATCGGACTATAGTCCTAAGAAGGGCATCAAACTTGTCAAGGATGATGCACGTACCATCACACCATCATTACTTATACGCGACTAAACTAACACAAATTAGTGTATAGATACCTTAGCGGTTCAGCGTGATATGCAAGGGTGGTATCACCGAGAAATACGGTGGCAGCTGCATCGTGTTATCCGGTATTAGCTGTGTACAGTAGCTGATATATAGCCAGAAAACAGACAACAAATGTAGCTGCAACGAGAACAAATGCACGCCAGATAGTCCGGTTCGTCGTGCAAGTGGCACGTGTAGGAAAAATCAACAGATTTCCGATGCGAGGGTGAAGTTAGTCCCACCAAGTGAAGTGGATATTTCTTCAGCATACAGTTTACCTCATTCCTGGTGCAAAGAAATCTGACAACCACCGCTGCTTAATTTTGGAGCTCGGCTGCAGGGATTTGAGTGGATTGTAGTGTGAGATATATGTAGTATCGGATGAATCATCTGAGTGTAAATACTATTTATATCTGCGATTTGGCCTGGAGGATGTTATCATGCTCAGAAGGAAAGGAAATTGGGAATATAACGCCCGTACCATTGACAGTCCCGGGACCTGGTTTTCTATGCACATCTTTTGCCAACTCCAAATACATTTCCGGTAAATCTAAGGAGATCAGTAAAGCATGGGTGCAAGAAAGAATCAAAGCCCACCCAGTAGAAGAACATATCAAGCGTAAAGCTTACGTAGTAGAGCAAACCATACTGCAATAACCTAGTCTATGTCAATTTATGCGCAGTTATAATGAGATAACTAAACTCACCAGCTAATAATACGGACTACACCGATTGATAAAGGGAAGGATATAGATCTCACAGTCTTCATGAAGGTTCTAAATAAAATGATTACTTCCAGCTGAGAACAGGTGACATGATTCCTCTCCTTCGTTTAAAGCCTCTCCTCCTTTACAAAACCATATCTAGAATTGATCTAGAGTATATTTAAGGTTCTTTTCGGCCTGTCAATGAACTATATATATACCAAGCATGACTATGTCTCTGTAGGATCCCGATGTATGGACTACGGTATTCCAAGGTTTTGAACTGTATGTTACTAATAGGCAATAACACTATTCTCAATAATTAAAGGAATAGATATGGACAGACGGTATTCAGTATGTACGAGCAGCTTTGAAACAACTGGAGGTACGGTTACAGAGGGAATTGGTATATAAATGCCCATCAGCTTGGATGCATTGGTATCCAGTTCCAGTTTCAGACTAGCAGCATAGATACTTGTGGCCAAAATGATGCCTATTGCAGAGTTTTACAAGATGTGGCTTGTTCTATAGTGATACTATTGTCTGTTACTGATTACGATAGTGTGGTTTGGCAGATGGTACGCATGCTATTGGTATAGCAGGGTATGGATATGTATATATATATGTGTGTATTTACATGTATCGGAGAGATTCTAAGCATCGGTTTTAGAGGATGTAGATAGATATATGTCCAAATCATACTGTGTACTTTCCAATGCTAGGAGAATGTAGATTATAGATCAATGAGTATATAAGTATGATGAGAACATGATGAACGGTGAAAAGAAAGCCCACAGACTGTATCAGACTCACTTCCTGGGTTCTACGGGAGTAGGTGATGAATAGCGGGCCTATAAAGGGAAGACTACGTGTCTAATGCAATATCATTCGTTAATAAGGATATAAGAGCTTGTGTTGAGACATTCGATGCGGTTAAGCTACATAGATTGCATGCATTGTTTTACTGGTTCAAAACCTGTTATCCAGTCCACGGAAGATTACAATAACAAGGTGAATAAAAACCCCCTATCATCGCTCGACTGCGAGAAAATGACGTTCTCCAGTAAACCATCCCTGCAAAGACACCTGGAGACATGGGGTTGTTCGGCTTGGGAGAGTCGGCCAAATCCACGTAGTTAGAAGCAGTTCAGTCTCACCTGACCTGGTTATTCCAAACAAGTGGACAGTACCTCGATGCAAGATGATCCAACGACTGGATACGCATAGGGATAATGCAGCATGCATCTCTTCTCGGCATTACATAAAACGCACAGAGACCGAGTTCCCAGGTCAGTGCTGCAAGTACACGTAGGCCCGGGCATGCCCAAGGCAGATGGAAAATGTTGATCCCAACACAGACACACACGAGCCGTTAGACTTCATCAAATTGCCATGTGAGTGACATGGCCATCGGGCATACTGGCAGATGTGGAATGTAACATCAACGTAATCCCCAGCATGTGGGCAAAACCAGAACGCCACCAATTGAATAGACGCGAAGTCCAATTGTGTAGCCTTGCTTCCCTCGCACAGGGAACGATATCAGTGCGCGTGACAAGAGATCGTATCAGTTGGGTATACACACAGGACGGGAGATATCCTTCAACCCGGTTGGGGGTGGGAAAGGGATACAGAGAGTGATATCATCGACTCTGATCGTCAGGTATTGAATTGATGATCTATGACACGACGATCCAAATCTGAAGAATGCTGTCGGGTCCGAGCGAGATTGACTTCGTTCAGGGCGTTTCAAAGCGGTCTGTTCTTGTTCCCCCCTTGCATCAATTGTTGTTTTTGCGCCCCCCCCGGCCCTCCCCTGGAGAAGTAGTTAGTGAGTCAGTTTTTTAGTCCGCACCGAGTCTCCAGTCTCCATATTCCATTTCTAGCTAGACGACTTGATCGGTTCATAGATAGTATACATAGAGACCATGATAGCTGTGATCCTTGCCAAGCACCGTAGTTTTGTCTGAGAATTCCTTTTTTTTTATTATTTTTTTTTTAAGTTGCCTTCTATTTAAAGATACATAAAACATAATAGAATAAAACGTTGGACCAATTTCGTATTCGCGTTTCAACAATTTTAAAAGTTGGTAAATTTCCCACGGCTCTTGATATGCCCAACTAAGAGGGAATCGATTGTGTTGAATGAAGCCAGGGGCTGAAACGAGGGACAACCTCCGAATCAGCCTCTCTCTCAATGGCCCACTTAGCCGCGTTACATTTCCTTGTAACTCAGCAGTTATGCAGATCCGCGTCTCGTAGCGCGACCATAACGATTTAGTGGCAAGTCATTGTCAGCACCAGCCCCAATACTTTCGTGATGTCCGAACCCAACGACAAGTATTCTAGAGTAGATCATACTAGTTAGGAAACTAGTGAGGTTCTAGTAAACGTATCTGGCTGGTATGCTGTTACCTAGTAGTAGTAGTCCAGACTATGCCTTGCTCTGGATAGCTTCGCGCCTCTTTACCTGCTTCCAACCACACCGGATGAGGTGTGGTTGCCTTCATTGGCGACTACTTTTACTCTCCTGCCTGTTAGGGGCAGGACACCGAGGAGTCCAACGCTTTCCAATACCGCCTGGTTCTAGATGTATGACAAGGCTAGTGGTTTCGTATGACTCCGTTTCTTCCCTTTCGGATGGAACTAGTGAACCAGCCATCATGAAGAGCACCGAGAGACCGATGGCTGGTATGAGGTTCGAGATAAGAGTTCATTTCCTGCGTCGAAGGGCCATCGAAGAAATTTCCGAAAAAAGCAACTTCAGGACACGCGCAGATGCCAGAGCCACGTTTTTATGATCGTCTGAAACTGGATCCCTGTCAGGATGTGGGGGATAAAAATCCGGTCTTGGTTTTGGACATAAATTTATTTATTTTGATTTGGATTCTCTCTGTACATGCGGACATGGTATATTTCTTACACCATCCGTGGAGGCTGTTGCTCAGATAAAGTTTGACAAGGCGTTGGAAATTCTATTATTAAGAGGTTTCAAAGTAGGAACAGAACAAGAAAGGGGAGATGGTGGAGTGGTGGGGATGAGTGAAAATAGTACCAAAAAAAAAAAAAAAA